CTTCCGAGGTGGGTAAAATGAGGACCCGGATTGTTGTTGGGGGCAATAGGCTGACTCTCTGTAAACCGCTTAGAGAGGGCTGAAAGCCCTATGAAGCGGTATATAAGTCTACTGTTATTGCTATTATTGCTATTGCTATTGGTTAGTTCGACTCCCCCGTGGAAGATCCTGGGGACGGCCTTGAAGGAAATGCGTGGCGGCCCTTGGGGAGACATAAACTTCGCCCAGGAAAGCAGGAAAGGGAGAGGAAGAAGCTCAAGACTGATTTTCTTTGGCGTAAGAAGGATGGGAGGGAAACAAATGGGTTTCAAGATTTTGTTACAGTAGTCCTCGACTTACGACCACAATTTTGAGCCCAAAGTTTCTGTTCCTAAGTGAGAAATTTGTTAAGTGGGCTTTGCCCATTTTATGACCTTCCTTGTCACAGTCCTTAAGTGAATCACTACAATTGTTAAGTTAGTAACATGGTTGTTAAGTGAACTCAGCTTCCCTTTATTGGTCAGAAGGTCACAAAAGGGGACCACGAGGCCCCTGGACACCGCAACCGTCATAAATACGAGCCAGATGCCATGGATTTTGTTCACGGGACCGTGGAGATGCTGCAACGGTTGTTAAGTTTGAAAAACGGTCGCAAGTGAACTGTTGTAAGTCGAGGATTGCCTGTGTGTCAATAGCATCTCTTATGGCGTCTTATGGAAAGATGTGGAGAGGAAGGGAAGGCCCAGAAATGCCCGGGGCCCTTCCTTCCTCTCGAGCACTGCTGGGCAACGGCTGAGCCTGGCAGAAAAGAAGGGTGCGTTCTTTCGCACAATGCCACCCCGAGACACCCCAGAGGGAGCAAAAGGTTTGGGCGCCACCGGTGGCCACCGCAGGGGATGCCCGGCCAGTCAAAGGACGGAGGAGCACCAGCGGAGAACTTTCCTGCCTGGGTTAACCGTCAGGTGTGCTGAGAGGCAGGTGACAAAGGTATCGAAGGCTGAGTTTTAAAAGCTGCCATAACCGGCCATCACAGGAGGAGCCAACCAGGAGTTTGTGGCACTGGTGAAATTTTTTTTTTTTTTACTACCGGTTCTGTGGCTTGGTGGGTGGTGCAGGGGGAGGATACCGCACAATCCCCATTCCCTCCCCACTCCTGGGTCCAGCCAGCGGTGGCATTGGCCGGTTCTCTGGACTACCCAGAATTTCCGCTGCCGGTTCTCCAGAACCTGCCAGAAGCTGCTGAATTTCACCCCCTGTTCTGTGGCCCTGAAGAGATGCGAGTCCGTTTCCCCCCCGTCAGACGTTCCCTTCCCCATCATCCCCCTTTGGTCTTCAACCGGATACCTGACACCACGGAAGCACGGAAGCCCTGAATGCCCCATTCCCAGCTGTGGGGAGACGGTCTTGGGAGGATTTCTGCTCGTTGCACAAGGTGGCCCTCAACCGGCCCCTCCCTTCCCAATGCTGCTCGGCCTCCCCTAACCCCCCCCCCCCCCCCCCAGCCCTGCCATGGCCTCACCTCAATCAGGAAGTCCCCTGTGCGCAGTCCTGCTCTCCACGCCACGCCCTCCACATCCACCGATTCCAGGTACTGCAGCGCCGGGAAAGCTGGCGTTGGGGTGAACTCCTCGATTGGCGTTTCCGCTGAGAGGAGGAGGAGGAGGAAGGAAGGAAAGAAAGTCCGGATCAGAAGGAGGGAGAGCCTCTTTGCATGGCTGAGGTGGAACAGGCGGCTTCTGGTGGCCCGTAATTCCAGCCCATTGGCCGCACTGCCGAGTCCCCACGGCCTTCGGCCTGCAGGCCGGGACACCTGAGATGTGGGGGGAACCTAGTCCAGAGCCACTGGAGGGAGGGGTGTCATAGGTGGGAGGGGCTCTTTCCCAGGGGTCAGAGAGAAAGCGGAGCTTGGAATGCCTGGTGGGCAGGAAGAGAGCAAGTCGGAGCCTCCCTAGCAGTTCACAGAGCAAGTTACAGTTATTGGAGATGCTCGCTTTGCTCCGGCAAGATTCTGTCTTACAGGTGAACAACAGTCAAGGGGCTGCCCAGAAGCAACTCCTTCCTTGTGTCGTTTTTGGTTCTACCAGCCGGGCAAGAAAGGTTTGCTATACACAAAGTCCTTGACTTATGACTACAATTCAGCCCAGCATTTCTGTTGCTAAGCAAGAGTTGTTTGAGTGAGTTTTGCCCCATTTTACAACCTTCCTAGCCACAATTGTAAAGTGAATCACTACAGTTTCTCTCAATCAACCAGAATAGAGTTAGAAGGGACCTTGGAGGTCTTCTAGCCCAACCCCACTAAGTTACTAACACAGTTGTTAAGTGAATCCTTCTTTGGTTGCAAAAAGGGATCATATGACACCAGGGAACTGCCACCGTCATAAATATGAACCAGTTCTCAGGCGTCCGGATTTTGATCCGGTGACCAAGAAGATGCTGCAGCGGTTGTAAGTAAAAAATGTCACTTTTTCTAGCAGTTGTAACTTTGAATGGTCACTAAACAAATGGTTCAAAGTTGAGGGCTACCGTAGTTCGATTCCCTAGTAAGCAACACCCCTCCCCACTTAGAACAGCTCTGCTAAGATGCTTTTCCAGAGTAAAGTCCAAATTAATTTATTTAGCCTCCTTGAGGCAACAAATACTAGAACCTGCCAGATCAGGGAAGAACTGAATCAAAATCTCGATTAAAGAAGGTTCTTGTCAAGTCCGAGTCCAACGAAAAATCTTGACTCCCACGGAGTCGTCTTTGATTCATTGCAAGCAAGAGCAGAATTTTGGCAATTTGGAAGCTGCTATGGGCATCCACTCATCCGTAAGTACATGAAGTTGGGGGGTCTAATCCTTCCTATCAATCCCCATGGATGGAAACCAGTTCAGGAGAATCACGGGGACATTTTGGATGATGAGCTAATGAAAGGCCTCAACATAAACCAAAAAGGAAGAAAAATAGCTTATGAAACTGGTGGAGCTGCACCAAGAACTCTCCAATAAACGGAGAAACCAAAAGGACAAGTTTAAAAAAAAAAATGGAAAGAGGGCAGATAATAATAATAATGAGGGTGATGAAAGGAGAATATCAAGGAAGATGCCAAGGCCTTTAGGTTGGGGCTAGGAAGACCAAGGCTGGGAAGCAGTTAAGCCTTCCACAAATGCCCAGAAGGGTTTGTGGGGGAAGAAGCAGCAGCAGGGTGGGTGGGTAAACAGCCAAGTTCCTTGGCTGGAGAAGATGGCAAGATGTTGATGGGCAACAGGAGAAGACCAACTGCTTAATTCCTATTCTGCACCTGCCTTTATTTTTTTTTGCAAAAAAAGCGGTCAGAAGGTGCTCTCTGTGGGGCAGGAGAGGCAAGGAAGAGGTCAGGAAAAGCCCAGCAGCTTGGAATGGTTCCAACCCACCAGGGCCAGATGGATCACATCCCAGGACGCTAAAGGAACTGGCAGATACAATCCTCACAACCACCAATGGGAATCTTTGGGAGTACTGGGGGAGGACAAGAAGGGTGGAGAAGAATTCAGATGGATCCAATCTTTAAAAGGGGCGGGGGGAGTAAACTCTGGGAAGCTACAGCTTGATGTGAACACTCAAAAGAGCTTTAAAATGATAAGTCAAGTGAGCTTAGAAAGATACCAGGCCGTTAAGTCCACCTAGGTCTGTTTAAAAACAGGTTGTGCTAGAGAAATCTAGCTTCATTTTTTACAAGTTGGAAAGTGGGATGGCTGGTCCTGCTCCAAGGTCTTAAATGTTGCTGTGGGCAGGCGATTGGACGCATGGTCCTTCATGGATCTACATGGAGAGAGAGGTGGGGCTCCCTCGGAGCTCTGCCCTGGTCTCTACATAGTAGAGCACAGTAGGAGTGTCCAACCTTGGCAACTTTAAGACTTATGGACTTGAACTCATCCCAGGAGGCTGCCTGGGGAATTCTGAAGTCCAAGGTTGGAAACTCCTGGGTAAAAGTATTTAGCCTTGGTGCAGCCCTTTGCCAACCTGGAGCCCACCAGATTCACCTGTTCTGACCAGGTTGTGTTTTGCTGACATGGATAGGCGTTTTTCATGAGGACATTGAGATGTTCTGGGATCCCCGTTTTCTGAGCACTTTCCACGGCTTGACATAACACAGGTCTGCGACTAAAAAGCCGTTTTGATTATTTTCATCTAATTTCCATGTATTTTGGTGTGTTGAAAACAAATAAAATATGGAAAAAACTCCTAGACGTCATGATTTGCCACAACATGCAAAATTGTCTTCAAATTTATCATTTTTTTAAAAAAAAATGGTATTTTTTTATATTATGAAAATTTGGTTTTTAACCAAATTTAAAGGCCAAATTACTATTAATTAATTCACACAAGTGCATTTAAGCTATAAAATGTCAAAAAAAAAAAAACCTTAAAGGGTTGTCCAAGTTATGTAAAAAAAATATAGCACTGTAAATCTGATGGTCAGCAATATATACATAAACTAAG